TCGTATTCTCAACTTATTCACATTGAAAGGCTTATCTTAATTGTTCATTATCTACAGAATGGCTTATCTTTATCGACTCGTCATCTAAGAACGACCATGTGTAAATGTTTATTGACATTCCTTCACCAAGGGAACGTATTTCTCGTCCTGCCATAGAAACACTGATTTACCTTATAAACCAGTTTTTATCTCTTTATATACTGTATAACATGTAGAATGTCTATTATCTTCCCGCCATGAACATTTTTTCGCATATCTACACATATGACTCAATACACGGAAATGTATACCACGTTTTTGTATAATAATAATAATGGTATATTTCACGAAGCCCGTGAAGCATGCTTGTGCGCATGATCAAATGTACAATAATATAAAATTACAGTGGGGACAGTAAGTGATAGTACAGAGTTCAAGTATCCAATTTGCAAGGTGACATAGGAGGAACATAAATGTGCTGTTTTCCGTGAAAACGGAACACAAGATGGACAAAGGTCATAATATGTAACACAGAGGGTGAATTGTTATAGACACGAGCAAATGAGAGTTTGTCTTATGGAAAGAAGAAGAAAAAGAAAAAAAATTTGGCAAGTCCCACAGATTGAGAAAGTCGTTCAGGAGAAAACCAGAAGAAACGAGTTCAGCAGCAAGCACATAGCGAAGATGAAACATGTGGGATATTGGAAAAAAACGGCAATGGAGCTGGAGAGGAGCAGGTTTATACGAGGAGAGACGCACAATGGATTATAAATAAAGGGTTGCAAATGACCATACTGTTCGAAATTTTTCGGAACCAAGGAACGAGGGGCTTCAGGGCGTAACCGTGGACGGATTGTGTTTTTTATTATTTATATTATTTAGGCGTAGGTCGCTTTGATGTGGGACTGACTACACGCTAGACACCCAACCTGAAAACACCATTAGGTGAGGCAGGAGGTGCGATCCACAACCTGGTCCGGAATGCGGACGCATGTAGTCAAAGCGGTGGAAACGGCCGCGCCCAACAACCCTTGCCGGAGCCAAACTGTCCATTGAAGGTATAGACCCCAAGCCTTCGGCAGGCCCAAACCAACCGAATCTGGAACAGGAGGGTGATGCACAACAGTCTGGGATAATACCCAGCTGAGAAGGGATGAGGGGAAACAGAGCATGTAACGACAACTATGCAGTGTAGAATAAAGCAAGGAAGTAGTCAAACCAATATATATATATGTAAATATGCTTGTGCCACAGAGTTGAGACGAGTCAGTCGAGTGAAAGGATATGCGAAAGATTACGCATACTGAACAAACGCTCACATAGCTTTTAGAGTATGAACCAGTATTTATTATGTTCCACAAATGACCTTCACGTCAAACACTCGTTGCGCTACAGTGACCAATGATCCGTTCAAACAACGGTATCTCGCAATCGGCCCCTTCTGTAAACAAACGAATTTTATAAACACCACACCCTCCTCTGATCATTCATCCTGCTTTATATGAACAAATTATCACTGTAACTTTACCCACTCGATCATGCGCAATCTGCACGCTTCTGGATGTAAACCGAGAAATATACTATTATTATTATCCCAACTCTAGAATGCGTTTCATTGCGTTACAGTAGGCTTCTTTCAACTGTGGTTGCCCCTTCAATCGACCCTTCAGCTAGTTGAGCCTATGGAGTGCTATTTCTCGATTGTCTAGCAGTCGGTTGGATCCCGTTCGCCAGGGTGACGGTACTTCGTATTGGATTCCGTTGTTTCGTGCCGTTTCGTTGACGATAGCCAGGGCTGCTCGGTCTTCCCTCGACATAGATACCCGGTCGTCTGCTACGTCGCCGAACTCGTGGCTGTAAAACCGCTCCAGGTCGTGTTCTATGGGATTATCTAGCCGTGGTTGAGTCGGGGCTGAGTAATAACCATCATGACCGAGCGGCCCGCAGAGTATCCAACCGAAAATCGTGCGCACAGCATACGGATCTCTACGGTTTGGTCCAGAACTCAATGCGCCTAGGGTACATCACAGCCGATCAATATGTCCACTCGGGTCCAGACACAACCGAAAATCATGCGCACAGCATACGGATCTCTACGGCCTCCTACCCTTTGGTCCAGAACCCAATGCGTCTCCGGTACATCACAGCCGATCAATATGTCCATTCGGGTGTCCGGAACATCCTCAAACGGGGGTACATCACAGCCAATACAATATGTCCACTCGGGTGTCCGGAACATCCTCGAGCGGCAGATCGTGGAGGTGAGGCCATTCGAATGGCAGATCGTGGATGTGAGGCCAGCGCCGCGCTAACTACAGGATACCTTCGGAAGCTCTCATTGGTAGTTCGGCGATAGCAAGTACCTGGTGCATCTTTACCGTATCTTCCCCGATGTGGGGGTTAACTCAAACTTCTCAAACTCAGTTGAGAAGCTCGAACTGCT